TAGGGTTTCTTAGGGTCAAGGAATTCAAAATTGGAACTTTTTTTTTTTTGGAATACTCTAAGCACCCGTACAGTGCGCAAATACGCGTTAGAGAATTTTAACGACTTTACGACTGTATAAACTCTTTATATTTTAAAACTTAACTTTTATTAACCAAAATATATTATCATTAAGTTAATGCACACATTAATTTCAAGGATCTAATTTATTATTGAATTCTTTAAACACCCGTACAGCGCGCATATAACACTTACGCGTTAGAAAAATTTAACGACTTTAACAACATTTTACATTTCAAAATTCAACTTTTATGAACCAAAATATATTATCAATAGTAAATGCACACACGAATGCATGATTATGCGGGTCATACGTGCATGTTAGTACGCGGCAGCCAGCGTAAAACTTTTAACTTGCAAAAAATTAGTAAATAATAATATAAACACTTGTAAATATTATGAAAAACTATATATGATATATTTTTCACACTTTAAGATATTAACAAGTCCAGTACATCTGAAGGCAATGCCTTCCCTTCATACTCCCTATGCTTCGCAAATGAAATGCTTGATGTTTTATGATCCGATCTAATAAAAAGATAGTAGATCCTACGTGCTGCAACCTTGCATTTCGAATTAGTTTATTAAGACTTTCTAGAGCTTCTTCAGAATATTGAGCGATAGGCAAATCAAATTGCTTTGAAATGAAACAACTATGTATCAGTATTTTGTGAATACTTGGTGGCATTACATACCAACCATATTTATGAGCAATCATTTTAGCAGTATCAATACAGTAAACTTCAAATTTATCAAAGTCAATATTGTACCAAGAATATATTGTTATAAGAAAAATGTGCATTCTATTTATGACTTCTATATCAACCCCTTTTATTTCGGAAAAAATCTCAGAGTTCTCAAATGCTCTTCTTGCAGTATTTCCGTCATTGCTGTTACCAAAACCTACCTTAGGTTGATTGACAATGAGAATCAACTTTTCTCTGAACATTGATTGAACTAATTGCTTCTTTAACTTTACAGAAAGCTTTTCCTAAATCCATTTTATAGCCTAAATGCAATACGAACTCGAATGATCTTATCCAACAATGCAAATTTGAAATACCAAGTTTAAGGTCTTTCTTATTTTCAGGTTTTATTTTCACTAAATCTATATTATTCATCACTTTAGGTTTAGAGCTGCACACATTACAAGACTGGGATGATTTTTTTCAATGAGTTACTTACTTTTCCGTCAAACATTGTCATATCTATTATAAAAGTAACCTTCATAGTGATCACTGAACCAGCAAAATTTATATCTACTGAGAAAGATTTTAATTCAGTAATTTGAGATTGAAGGTCACGTGCTCTCGGAAAATCACGGCGCTCGGGGCAACTTGCCCGAGCGCTGTGATTTTCCGAACAATTTCTTCTATTTACGCTAAAGTAAAGTTTTTTTTTTTCACGTTGTTTGTTTTAAATAATTTTGATTATTAACACTGAACTCATGTATGTTTTGTGCGGATAATAAAATAAATAAACCGAGAAGAAAGTAAGTTGATAAAAATGTTGTAATAAAAAGGGTTGCAAACTGTAATCAATAGTGACCTTAATGATGAATTAAAAAAACTTACATTATGAAGAGTTTATATTTCCAGAAACGAAAATAAAATTTTGTACTATTAATTTGAATTTGAATATTTTTTTAAAAATGTTAAACAAACTTGCCAAGTACTCTGAAGCAGCACATAAAGCTGTTTTAATTAAAGTGTCACATTCTCCAAGATCATCACAACCTTGTGAATACAGGGTAGGAAGAAATGACGAACAAGTAAGAGGAGATGGCTTATATACTCTCCAGAAGCTGATTCAGCTTGGTGTCTTCCTTGTTATCTGTTTGAACTAACTCCAAAATCCATTAACCTTTTAGCTTCGCGTGTAAAAGAGGCTATTGTAAACGAGGTAAAGTGTCGAAAGTATTTTTTAGATATTGTGGATTGCACTCCAGACTTTAACTCAAAGGCCAAACTTCTCTAACCATCCACATGAAGAAAATGGAGAAAATGAATAGTCATTGTCCAAAAAATCTTTATTGGAACATGTGTAAAGAATATGTGTAATTAGAATATGTGTAATTTGAATGTATGTTAATTCAAATGTGTGTAAAAAGTTAATTTGTAAAGCTCATTCTAACTTTCTAATTGAAGAAATATAGTCTTGTAGGCTAGACCTAAACAACTGTAGAGGTCAAGGCTGTGACAATGGGTCTAATACGGTTGCAATTCAAAAAGGTATTCAAACTCGAATTTCAGCAGAATACTCACAAGCCTCATTTACACCCTGTGGTTGCCACAGCTTGAGCATAGTTACATCTGACGGAGCTAAATCATTTGGTAACGTCTATATTGGTGTTTTGAGTTTTTCAAAGAATCTATACAACTTTTTCTGCATCAACCAAGCGTTGGCCACTTCCCTAGCACAAAAAAATCCTTCAAAAATGATGTTTTTTGCCTCTTCTAAAAATGTTTCAATTGACCCAATTGAATCGTTTTTAGAAGACATAATGAACAAGTTCTCGGAATACGAGTCAAAGTGGGGATTCCTGTCTGACCTAAAAAAACTACCACCAAAGGAAAAACCTAAAGAGGATTATAAAGTGTCACAAGAACACCTGACTGTGGAAATCATTTCAGATGTAAAGAGCTGTATAAAGAAAATAAAACACGTCAGTTTGATAGCTACTGTTTTTGACAAATGAAGGCCAAGAAAACACTATTACCTTAAGAAGCACTCAATATAATCAAAAACACCGACAGAAAAGACCTTTTTACTAATCTGTGGATAGCACTGCGCATATTGCTGACAATTTCAATGACAGTGGTCATCAGTAAACGTATTTTCAGCAAGTTAAAGTAAGTTAAAACTTACCTACATACATTTTTTTTTTTAACACTATTTTGCCGTTTGCCGTTCTAGAGATATGGACCTTGATAAGAAACAAAAAACTGGTCTTTGCTTTTACGGCAAAAAGGGGCAAGAAGATAGATTTTTATCAATATATACTCCGAGAAACATAATAACTTTTTCTCTTTTCATTATTATATTATTAATTAAAAGTTCTGGCAAGATATGAGGCAGTTTCTGTTTTTTTGAAGGTGAATAAAAAAGTGTCCATTTAGTTTTTTCTATATTTAAAGACAATCTATTTTGTTTAAACAAACAGAAACTTTTTTTAATTCATTGTCATGTTAGTAAAAAGCATATTAATATCTTTATGAGACAAAAACAAATTTTTGTCATCTGCAAAAATTATTGTTGTTAAGTTTGATGATTTATGAAGATTGACGTGGTTTGAATGTATATATATATTTATTCTTAAGGTAGATTAATAGGTGGTGTAAGTATTTAAGGATTGGTGGCTTCAAAAAAAGTTTATATACGCGACTATTACTAGAAGGAGGGGAGTCGCCCTAACTACATTTGCCCCGGGCGCTACCAACCTTACGAACGCCCCTGAAGATAAGTACTATATGTTTCTTAAATTAAAAAGCACAATGTTTTATTATTGGTACAGGAATAAATAAAGGAAATGTTGTTATAAAAATTAACTGGGTTTGACAGAATTACATTGCGTCAATGCTGGAACTTTGTCTAAATTTAGTCAAAAATCGCAAAAAAGCATAATTTCGAACAACCGGCGCAAATACTTCGAATAAAAAAAAATTATATAAGCATGACCTCTACACCACTTACTTAAGCTACTCCATATAAAAATTGTTTTTATAAACAAATTACAAATAAAAAGAGAAATATATACTAACTTTTTAGGTGTCTATGTTGATGAAAACCTTAGTTGAAAATTTAACATAAAGTTTATTTAAAGTATTACTTGTTTTATACATTACTCCTATACTTTTAGCATTATTGTTGCTAAAAGTATAGGAATAATGTATAAAACAAGTAATACTTTAAATAAACACTCCTTAAAACAACTGTATTTTTCTTTTATCCATTGCCATGTAAATTATGCAAACATTTCCTGGGGTAATACTAATAAATCTAAATTGTTATCACTTAATCGTTAACAGAAGCATGTTACTCGTCTAATCAATCTATAATTTGCTCATGCCAAGCCTCTCCTATTTGAAATAAAAACATTTAATATTTATCAGCTGAATATTTTTAACAAACTGTTTTATGTACAAATCTAAAACTAATCTCCTTTTTCTTTTCATAATCTATATATCTTAAATTAAAAAAGTTAATAAAACTTAAGAAATAATAAACTAATTCAAAAATCTTTATTTCAAACTAATTTTGGATTTCATTTCAAGGAGTTTTTCTTAGGAACAAAATAGTTTTGAAAAACTTTGATTTTTCGTATGGAATAACTCCTTATTCAAAAAACAAACTAAATGAAATCATTTGTATTTTTTTCTTTTTTATATAATGTATAAAAAAGAACAATAAATGTAAAAAAAAAAAATTGTTATCAAATAAAAATTGTTATCAAAAAAAAATTATGGGATTGGCTACTGCACATTATTGACAGTGACGGATCCAGGGTGGAGGGGGAGTTGGTGTTCCTCCCCCCCCCCCCCCAGAACCTAAAAGTCCTAAAATATCTTAGAAAGGTACAAAATACAAAAATATTTCTACACCCCCCACCCCTTCCCCACCAAAAAATTCTGCATCCGTCTCTGAATATTATCATAGTCATAAGAAATAGAGAGTATTGTCAATTCTTAGGGTCAGAGAAATCTATTTCTTATGGTATTATTAAACACATCGCATTTTTTGCAAGTGGCAGATTAACCAGACTTTTTGTTACAAAAATAAACGAAACGCCCTTGAGGGAAGAAGTGGAAAAAAACGTTTCGAAAATCTTGCAGAAGGCCTAAAACTTAAATTGATGTCACTATTTTTTTTTAGCACAGATGCCTGAAAAATGTTATAATTTTTTTTACTTTCGAAATAAATTTCGATTTACTTTTGAAATGACTTGATTCGAAAATATTTGGAATACAGTTGGACGCATAGTGATACCCAAATGAACATCAAATAATGGCGGACAATTCTGCAAATAAAATAATATCATTATATAGTTTTACTATTCCCAGTTCTGGTGATAAAATCTATAAAGAAGAGTGTGTATATTGCTTTGATTCTGCGGTTAGCATTAAACTTGTTATTTATTAAAATATAATTTTTTAAACTGTATATTAAGAACATCTAAAATCATTCTGTTAACTCTTATTTTATATTTGATCCAAACTGACTTGCTTTAAATTTTTACTTTCAACTAAATTTTCTTTTTCTTTTTTTTTTGAGACGTTTTTTCTTGTGCTTCTCTGTTTCTAGTTGTGTTTTGTCCAAATGACATACCAGTAAACAATATTATTAGGTATGAAAGTGAAAATATTTTGATAATTATTTTATAACCTCTTTATTTCTTTCTTTTGCAAAAGCATTTTGGTGTAAATATATTATTGACATAAGCATACTTTTAAAAGTACAAAGTTTCTAAAAGATTTTTAATAAAAGTCTTTTAGAAACTTTGTATTTGGATAGAAAATGTTCTTAAATCAGCTTTTATCATATGCTTTTTGTTTTGAGTTTCTTGATTTAAATTTCATCATAAAAATGATTTGCTTCTATGTTTACTCTCATTTTTTTAAACCATATTTACCTCATCAAGAGCCGGAAGCCTGAAGGTAGTTAATGACAGTACTTTTAATATTTAGTATTTTTTATAGTTTTACATACACAAACCTTGATGAGCAAAAGTCCTTTTTGAAAAAATGAGTTAAAAGCTTAACTGTTACGCCAGTACTACTGAGGCAAAAAGTTATAAGAAGTTAACTTCTACAGAGGTCATCGCCTACAAAAAAGCTAAAGGCCTCTATAGCTTTACTGGTGATGATGTTGAAAAAGTATTAACAGAAAAGAATACAATAAAAAGATTACTGTTTCAATCAAAAGATCTTGTATATAAAAATATTTTTTTTTTTAATTTTGTTAAATCTAATCACACTTTAGTGATGTTTATTTAGGAAAACATCTGAAATAAATACTTAACTTGAAAGTCTTTTTTAGCATAGACACGAGGACACAAAGTTAGATAGAATATAAAATAATAGTGAACAAGGTGTTGGTATTCTAAAAACTTATATGTATTTGTGATGAGCATAGCATTAAAGTTTTTCAACATCCCCCCCTCCCCTCAACATTTGCATTTAATCCCTCAACCTACTTTCTCCTTTTCTGGCTGATATAAAAATATAGTATACAAAAAGTAAAAGCTTTATTCTAAAACACTATTTTAATCAGAGTAGTTTATTATAGTGTTTTGGTATAATTGGAATGTTACTTATTTAATGTATCATTCAAGAGTAAAAAAATGCTAAAAAATGCATTTATAAATGCTAATATGAAAAAGATTTTTCATTAGTTACATAATAATTATTCTAATTATTAAGTTTTTTATTTGCATGTCATTATTTACAATCTGTATTTTTTCTGTATTATCAATCAATATTTTTCTTAAACGTATAAGGCCTGATCTATTTATACTTTTTTTTTTCATTTACTAATGTAGTTTTTTTATGACTAACCAACATGTCAAAGAAGTGTGTAAATTTAGTGGACAATTTTTGTTAGATTTTTGGTAAAATAACTTTTTTATTGCAGAAAAGAACCATGACACATCTTGTGAAGACTGCTTACCAGAATTACTTCAATATGAAAGTATGGGACCAGGCTAAATCATGTGCTATACATATGCTGTAACTCTTTTTTGGTTACACTACAAGAACATAAAAAAAAAAGGATATGCTGTTCCTATGGTATTGAGGGAGCCTAAAAAGCATTAATTAGGGCAGGTTTGTCAATGAAGAAAATAGTAACAGTTAGATATAAATTTTCTCAGTTTGAACTATGAATGGAGATTATTCATAAACATTTCTCAACTCAATCAAATACAATAAACACAAATAAATATGATCTAAAAGTTATTGCTATACTTTTAGGAATGTGATTAGGGTAAATTAAATACTGCTGTTTGTTGTGTAGGTGGGACAGTAGAGACAGAAGTTCATATTACATAAAAAATTACTGACCTACAAGAAATCTTAACACAGATAAAAGAAATGTAATTGCTGAATTATGTGTGGATCAAAGGTTTAAAGAAAAATTTTGTCAAAGATATAAACAAAGAAAGACAGGCTTTTAGGTATTTAAGAAAGAAATTTCAAAAAATAAGTAATGCAAAAGTTAAAAGAAGTTTTTTTGTTGGGTCACAAATGCGTCAACTTACAAACCATCTTTCATTTAATGAAGTTTTGAAGCAGCAAGAAAAAGAAATTGGGGAAGCTCTTAAGGGAGTGATTGGTGGGTTTTTTGGCAACAAAAAAAATGATAACTACATTCAGTTAAAATAAAGCTATGGTGGCAGATTATTGTTGGTTTATGTGTAGGAATGCATACAAATGGAATGCAAAATCTCTTGACAATACTCCATAATCATCTTTATACCTATTAGCTTGTTGATCGTTCTTAGTTTAAAACTATTTGAATATAGCTATATCAAAAAAAAACAACCAAACATACTTTAAATATTTTTAAAATATGTAAATTATATAACAAATTGCTCTGTTGCCAATTAACTGAAATATAAAATTATTGCTATTATTTATCTCAGAAACTAGAGCTAATAAACACTTTTCATTGTTATTTTTATTTTTATTTTTAGCCCAAAATTAGTATAACTTGAACAAAACAGTTTAAGATACTTAAAAAAGTTTTTTTTGCCTAGTTTAATTATAAGTTCCTTTCCTCCTCTCTTCTTTTTACCTAGCACAATATAAATGCTTTTCAAAATCAAAAACAAATAAAAACTTATTTGTTATGTTTCAGTTAATATGAAAGTTGTTTTGTTATGAAAGTAATATCGCAATAATAATAATACTTTTTCGTTCAGTAATAACATCATAGTAACCATGTTATGAAAGTTCATTTTTAAAATCATTATACTATAACTTGTCATTGTAACAGGTTTAATTATGAACTAATATAACAAAATTTCAAATTGAATGAATTAAATAAAATTTGAAAAAAAAAAACATTTAAAGAGTTTTTTAAGATCTTCGCTATCTCCTCGAATTATGGTAGGTATTTTGTTAACAAATTGAGCCAGCAGACAACCAAAAATAAATTAAATAAGAATTTTTAAAGCTCCTTTTTTTTTAAAAAAAAGGTTTTCAATTAGGGATTATCCAATGTTAATATTGATTTTCTCAAGAAGTACTTATTAAAGTCTGACTAAGTATTTAAATTTATTTATTGTTGATATTTAGATATCAGATGGAGGTTTATATGTTTGTTTATCAACACTTTGGTCTACTTGTAGAAGACACCTTCATATACATGTTCGAAAGAAAGAAAAAACTGTATTTCTTCATTTAAAGAAAATAGAGGTAAGTAAAAAGCTTTTTTTTTGTGTTTTTTTTTTGTGTTTTAATTCTTTTTTAAAAGTTTTTGGTGCTTGATATTTTCTTTTACTCTCCTGTTACAATGACAACAAAATGTAAGAAAATCTTATCTTTGTTTTGATATGAGAAAATACTTTGATTTTTTGATGTGGCAAGATGGTTAGACAGTAATTTTTTATTTTAGCATTTAACTCTTGCAAAATAAAAGTTAAATTGAATTACAAAATTCAACTTCTGTTAAAAAACGTTTAAGTAGGTGAAAATACCTGTGGAAGATTCTGTTTGTTGAGATTTTAAAAACGTGAAAGTGTTAAGTGTAAATATTTTTAAAAATCTTTTGAAAATTATAGATTTTATTTTATTTTAAGAAAAAAATATTTTTTTCTTAAAATAAACTAAATGACAACTATAATAGATATAATAGCTCTATAATATAGAACTATAATTTGAATATATTTTTATTAAATTAAAATATAATTTTATTAAATTATATATTAAAAAAACTTAAAAAATCTTTTCAAAACTTTTAAAAGTGTTTTTAGTATGCAAACAAGTGTTACTCTAACAATAATAAGAAAATTTTAAAAAAGCACACTTTTGAAGAAATCAATGTTTTAGAATGGTTTCTTTTAAAATCTGGGTGAGGGTAAGGGTTAAGGTTCATTTTGACTAAATTTTTTTATGCTTTTGTAAACGCATATAAAAACCATGCTCAAACATTTAACTTTCTTCAGTTGCTAAGTACTTAGTTATTAAACTTAAAAGTAACGCTATTGAAGAAAATATTGATGTTTTAGCATGATTTCTTTTAAAATTGCTGAAAATGCATTTTAAATTTCAGTAACTAATTGTTATATTATTATAAAGATGTGTTTTTTTTAAAAAATTAAAAACTATCAGTCGCATAATTATTTGAAACAAAAGTAATGTGTTTGTTTTTAAAATTTTCAAGCAAACGCCAATTTTCTGCTTTCATAATGTTTGCATAAATCAAAGTAAAGATATGTGATGTTCGTTTTTCTGTTGTTTTTTTTAACAAACGTTCGCATGTTCATTGATTTGTCACGCCCTGTTACTTCACAATTGCCAAGCAATTGTGAAGTTTTATAAATCAGGGTTTTAAAAAATCATGATTTAAAAAAAAAAAAAAAATCACAAAAATCAGATTTTTTTGATTTAAATAAAATATTTTTTGATGAACTTTAAGTATAATTTAAAGTAATATGAAATTGGTTGACATTGTTTTTTGTACATAACGCAGTGGTCAAACAGTTTAGAAGTATACTCAGGATTTTAAAGTCATTTCTTGATTACGTGAAGATTTTATTTATTTAAAAAAATGCAAAAATGTTCATCAAAGGACTAGACTGAGCTGTCAAGCCCAAGTGAAATAAGGAAAAAATTAGGAACAGAGAAAGGATAAAAAATAAAATTCAAAAGATATTTCGAACAGATGTTCAGACCAAAACAAAGATTCTAAAATAAAGTGTATAGTTATTAAAAAAATAATAATGATAATTTAGACATCTTGCATGTTATAGAAATTATAAAGTTATAGACTCACTCTCATAATGAAAAATCATAACCAGACTTGTAATGGAAAATCATAGCCAACGCGCAAGGTATAAAAAATGCAAATGATAAAATACTAAGATGCATAGCAAAATATGCTTAGAGCGAGAATTGAAACGGAAACTGAAGATAATAAGTATTAAAATTATAATAAATTCAACAACTAAATGACATTGAAATAAAATAGTGTACGAATAAAGTAGAGACAAAGTACTGAAATATGTATATATATACACATATACAGGCTTGGTCGGGAAGCGGGAGCGATCGCTCTCGATTGCTGACCACATAAATAATATTTAGTTGCAAAAAGCTGGCCAGATTTTTTAGTCGTTTTGAGAACATTTTAAAAAGCAAAAAAAAAAAGCGCTAAAGATTAATTGGACCAATGAGAGACAATTACAAAAAAAAAAAAAATTAGGCAAATAAAATATCTTTAAACGCGAAAAAACTTAAAGCTAAATAAATTACATTTAGAACAAATATTTTCGAAACATCGCTCTTTTATAATTTTTTTTATAAAATTAAGCGATGTTTTTTATATAAAGTAACAACTTATGATTGTTTAAAAGGGAAACAATATTCTTTATTTAACAAAGTTTGCAAGTTTTAGTTTTATTTAAGCTAAATTATTTTATAAATAAAAAAGTTAATTTTTTTAATACCTATTTTATGTTTCGCGTAGTTTAAAAATTTAACATATTTGAAGCAATTCTTTTTAGTAAGATAAACAAATGAAATAATTAAATCATTGAATTACTATAGAAATCGAATTATCAAGAGAGAAATCAACTAAAAAGGTTAAAAATACTTTATGACGAGGAAGCGAAACTGCTTCACAATATCGCTGATGATGTTTAGTGAGTAGGCTTTTTAATTTTAATTAGTATTTAAAGCAGAAAAACGTATAACAAGTTTTAAGAATGGCAACTTAAGCGAAAATAATTAGAGTTAGTAAACCAATATCTAAAAACTTTTCTCTATATGTAATTATTTGCTATATATATTTGTATTCTGTCGTGACCTCAGGCGCGGTGCTTGTTCATCCGCAAGTTACTTTGTATGCGTTGTTTGTGTTTAGTAACCAGAAACTTCTTATATGTTTGTTACATAGTTAGTTTTATTAACTTTAACGATTATAACTTCATTGAAAATGCAATTATTTTTGTAAGTCTTTGTTTAAATTATAAAAATTGCTTTAAGAGATACAGTACGATAAAAAACAAATACACAAAATTACATTTACATAAAGAATACAATCTCTTTTTAAATGAAAAATAAGAATATACTAATAAAATCTATGATTTATAATAATTTTTTAAAATTTTAACAATTTAATTAATATATATTTAAAACATTTATTTTTGTAAACAAATAATATATATTCTTAAAACAATTTATGCTAGAAATCTCAAAACATAACAAATCATGAATAATAGAATTTCTAAAACATTTCAACAGAATACTCTAGAACTTTATTTCGCTTAATCAGTGTATTTTTTTAACCAATAGAACAAGTCCAGGTCAGGTCAGGATAATCGAGATCAATCTTGCTACTGGTATCACGTAACCCAGTACCACCTGCCACAAGCCCTGCTGCCTTGCAGAGTGTGCTCTTCTTATGCAAAGGCTAGGAGAAATAAACTCTGACTAAAAATTCCCCTGCCTTGGGGCTCTTGGTTGAGTAAAGGCTAGAGATGGTGTCTCGATAAAAACACTCATCTTGGGCAGATGTTAACTGCATCCAGCTAAACATCCCCTGCCTTGGGGCTCTTGATTGAGTAAAGGCTAGAGATGGTGTCTCGATAAAAATACTCATCTTGGGCAGATGTTAACTGCATCCTGCTACTGTCTTGTAGAAGGCCTCCTAGGCAAAGACTTTAGGGGTAAGCAGAAAAATTCTGCTAACCAGCCTCGAACCCCTTCTTCATCTATTAGGCTGGCGTAGATGTAACCTGTGTTACATTGTTTCCTGTCTAGGATGATGAATGCTGGATCTCCTTGACTCTACTCATAGAATTTCGCTTATGCCTCCTTGATAATGGCTATGCACCTCTTCCTGTTATCTCCATATGAGGGTACAGCTCTAAAACTCAGTTTAATGGTTCTGAGGCCGGCTGGTAGTAAGGTTTCACGAACTCTGTGGTAGCTCTCAGAGAGGCTGATTCCATCAACAGCTGCAAAATATCAGAGTATTAACAATGCCATGTTGCGCATGGGTAGTATCCCTGTTAATGCTTTTGGTGTGCATTGTCAAGGCCACATAAGGAGCCCTATGTCACGGCTTAGGGTTAATTAACAGGACTGAGACAACTGCATAGCTCATTGATTAGGAGGCTGTGCTCTATCTATGAATGAGTCTAGTTCTCATTAAACCCAAATCATGACCAAAGTAACCAAAAATTTAAAACCTAAAAAACCATCCCCACCACCTAAATATTTTAATATATCTTTTACAAATATTCGCGGTCTATGAAGCAACTTTCCATCAGTTGAGTCTTACCTCCTGCAAAATTCACCAGATTTGCTTGCACTCAGTGAAACAAATTTAAATTCTGCAATTCCTTCTTCAGATGTCAGTGTTGATGGGTACTATCCTTTGATTCGTAAAGACGTAAAAAGGTTTTGAAAATTATATAAAAAAAGAGAAAAGTTTCTTCAAATATCAAAAAAACCTGAAGCAAAAAAAATATAACATCTAAAGCTTTTGTTTAAACATAATACGCTAAAAAATTCATGCTAATTTCAAATAAAAGAAATCAAATAATTTGTAAATCGCCTTGACTAAACCAAGTAATCACCAAGTACATTTATGAAATTCAGAGGAAAATCGTACCCATTCATGGAATTTGAATTTAGCTTGGAAGTTTTAACAGCATTATTGTCTGTTCAGTGGTGGAGATCACACTGTGATAACATTGAAAGTAAAACATTCAATACAGTTTTGCAATTGATAACTGCGGTAGTATCATCTGCAGGAGTTGAATGTTTGTTCTCCTCTTACGGCTTGATACATTTAAAACTGAGAAATAGATTGGGTACGGAAAAAGCTGCTAAGCTTGTGTTTCTCTTCAAGGCAATTAATCAGAAATTTATTCAATTTGATGTTGATAATTAATTTTAATACTGCACACAGAAGAAAAAATTTTTAGTTTTAATTGATAGTTATATTTAGTGATTTGTTTTGTGCACTGTAGCATTACCTGTTTCTTTTTTATTGTATACTTTGAGTCATTAATTCTTTAAATACATAGTACTGCTATATTTAATTAGTTTTGTTTTGAAATATGACAAAAAAAAATTTTTAATAAGTTTTTATTATTCAAAAACCAAACATAAAAAAAAACTTGATTTAAATTAAAGTCATTTAAAAATTTATTTTGATATAAATCACTGATTTAAATCGATGTGATTTCAATCGGCCAACCCAGTGAAGTAATGTTTTAAAAATATTTGCTATGAAGACGAGATATTAAATCCTATGAGTATCAAACATTAGTATTATAATATGAAATGTTGTCACTGTAATATGAAAGATAGTAAGTACAGCTATAATAAGAAAAAATAAAGATAAAAAAACATTTGTTATGGTTGCATCTAAAATGAAAATGTTGTGTTATAAAAGTAATGTCACAATGATATTAATTCTTTTTCATTCAATAATGTCATAATAATAGGGGGAGGGGGTCCAAAATTCTATATTTCTTGTTTAACCAGTTATTCTTAATTAATTTTTTGAGAAAAGTTCTAAAAAAACGTTTTAAATAAGTAAAACGACAGATTGCTTCAAAAAAAAAGTTTTATCTGAAGTCTCTTTCTAAACAAAACGTTTTAAGTAATCAAAAAGACAGATTGCTTCAAAATATCTTAATTTCCTTTTTTTTATTTATTTTTAATCATTATTCAAGCTATCAAGAAGGCTATTCAAGATTTCTTTTTTTTTCACTTTTCTTTAATGAAGTCAAGAATAAATCTTCTTTTAAAGTGCCAGTCAGTAGAAGTTCAGTTAAATTCTAAAGTTTTAACAATTCTAAAAAAAAACAGTTAGTATAAAGGAACACCGCTATCTAAAAGGCTTCATAAAAAACAAACTGGGTGATCAAATTTTGAAATTTTCTGCTTTTCTCTAAAATGCAGTGAATAGCTAGTTAAAAAAAATTCTAGAAGCAGGTAATAAGTATATACTTCAAAGAGGTTAAATGATTGTATCATTCTTGTAACTTTTGCCAAAATACTCTAGGTATTTTGGAAAAAATCCATTTCATTTCAACTGTAGATGTATACTTAAATATTTAAACCATATAAAAAATGAAGTTTTGCGCAGTTTAAAAATATTTTGGAGAATTATTGTCCAGTTATTTGTCCAAAAAATGTTGAAACTATAGAATATAGTTGAAATCAGCTACAAAAACAAATGGATAACAATGGAAGAGCAGCAAACTTTACATCGGGTGTGCAAGATGAGTTCTGTTTTAGTTTGATTAAAGTTACAAGGCAGCCCGTTTAGCTGTGAACTAGACATTATTGAAGAAGATATGTTAAAATAAAAAAAAAAGTTTGAAAAATGAGGATCTTTATTTTAGGGATACAATGTAGGTCATTGTCGCGGAGGTTTATTCTGTTTAAATACATGGTTGATGATATAAAAATACAAACCTCCATCTTATATCTACCAAAGAACACGCTCATAACCTAGATGTTCTATAAGGAAAGTTCACGTAGCAATCTCTATCACATATGATGACTTTTATAGTTATTTTCCATTTTCAATAGTAAATAACAAACTGTATGAATTATTTTCATATGTAATGCTTAATTATTTTTGTTACTTATAAATGATAAGGTATATTATTGATAAATTAAACAGAAAAAGATTTCTAGTTTTCTACTTTTCTTATATTTTATGATAATAATAATTTCATCTATTTTTAACAATGCCTTTTTTTGTCAATATATTCACTTATATTAAAATCAAAGTAGAAGGCTAAATAATTAAAATGAAAAAAAAAATGATTATGATTTTCAGAATCAGCATGAAAAACTAATTAAGAAAAATTGGTTAAACTATAAAAAATCTAAAAAAAGACGATTATGGACCCCCCTAATAATAACCATGTTATGAAAGGACATTGTATTATAACATTGTTGTACTATAACTTGTTATTTTAACAGGTTTGCTTAAAAACAACTCCAATTAATATGAAAAGCTAAAACAGAAAATTCTTTAGATATTAATTACATAATGAAATACAATTAATATTATTTAATAATTGTAATTATTAAATAATACTATTTGTATTATTGAGCTGTATCATTGTTACAGAATTTTTTATACTTACAAGATTTTTTATACTTAATAATAAACAAAATTTCTTTATTCTTTTTGATAATAATTTTTTAATAATGTACATATAGGTTATCAAAGATAATGAAAGTTGTTCTCCTGAAAAGAAACCAACAAAGCTTGCAATAGGTAAAACGTTATGTATTTTTTTAATTTAGTTTTAAATTTATGTGTTGTAATTTGATAGGCAGCTAGGTAAAACTCATGATTTCTTTTTTTATATTTTTCTTTGTCTTTGCAGCATAAAAAATAAAATTAAATTTTGCTAATTATTTTACGTATTGTAAATAAACATGCAGCTCGATAAAACAGCTTTTTTTTGTTTGCTTTTGTACTAGCGTTAGTTTAAAACTAAATTGAAAAATCACTTTTTTTTTCTTTTATAACTTTTTAGTTTTTTGAAATTTTTTAGTTTTTTGAAATTTGTATGTATACATATATATATATATATATATATATATATATATATAATATATATATATATATATATATATATATATATATATATATATATATATATATATATATATATATATATATATATATATATATATATATATATATATATATATATATATATATACAGGGTTATATTATATATATATAACCCTGTATCATTCAATTTTGACATTGTATCAGTACATTTCGACAATGTTTCATTCAATTTCGACACCGTTGCATTTGATTTCGACTGTTTTGCATTCAATTTTGACAGCGTTAATAATACTTAAATTAATATACAAATAAAGCAGTTGATTCTTTCTAAATTCATTTAGATAATATAATTTTTTAGTTTTTATACAAACTAAAATCTAAACAAAAAAATTATCGTATATAAAGTATTGTAATTGCAAATACTCGCGAATAAAAATAAAAATTACAAAAGTTTATTCTTCAATAACTGGTTCTTTTTTTGAACACGGAATCATATACCTCAGTACGTGCGCAAAATAATTATTACAGTTTGTGCTAGTAATATTCAATGCACTGTTTTGTATATTTTCAAGCAGTTCCTTCTCAGTCCTAGACGAACATCTTCTGATAAACTGTTTCCATTCAGAAAACATATTTTCAATAGGGTTTAAAAAGGGTGAATATGGAGGTAAAAATATCAAAGAATGCCCAGCACGTACTATTTCATTATGAAAAACAGCAGTTTTATGAAAACGAACATTGTCTAAAATTAAGATAGCTCCAACAACTTCATTAACAGCTAATTGTGCTAATACTAAACGAATGAAATCTAAAAAGCTTTCTGTATTAAATGCTCTTGTTTGTGCTTCATATTTCAAAATTTGTTTTTGTTCATTGCACAACAGACGGAAATATTTCTTAACCGTATATTGGTCACTGTTTGTGTGACCCTCTTTCCAGCTAAAGAACGTCCTCTTCTAACTCGCATTGAAAGACTAAATCCTACTTCATCAATAAAGAATATTTTATTGTCATTCATAGAAGACAAAATGTTCATGAATCTTTCTGCATAAGAACCTCTTTCATTAATAATGTCTTCCGAATTTCTTCTCTCTGGAATATTGTGAACACGTTTCAAAGTATAATTAAAACTATCAATGCATCTTGCTATAGTAGATTGACTGACTGAAATGGATTTTTGTTCAAAAAGTTTTTGTTTAATTTCCTTAAGAGTTATTCCACAATTATCATCAATTCAATTTTTGATTAGTACCTTGGATTCTTCTGTTAATTTTTTGTTTCTAGAACCACCTTTTAATTGCCGTTCTATCGGCAAACCATTTTTAAATTTTTTAATAATCGAATAAATTGTAGTTCGTTTAAATACAAGAATATTTGCAATTTCTGATGGTGAGTTTCCATTTAAGTAAGATTCAATTATCCTTGAACGGTTTTCATTGTTGATTGTTTGATTCGGCATTGCTGTTTGTAAATATTGAAAATGATATTTAAGCTTTTATTATGAACTCTTGTTGTATTGAAGAGTTAAATGCTTTTATTTACTTAATAGAAAATTATAACATTAATTTATTTTTTGATGACAATTTAATTATGTATTGTTGGGATATTTTCCAAAGCATAGATATTTTAGACATTTTAGGCAATTAGACATAATTTATCTGGTCAATAAAAATAATGAATATAGCAATTAAAAACAACTATTATGGTTACTTGAAATAATTGATATCTACATTGTTTATTTTACCTATATATTTTACGTATATCCAAAAAAATATTGAAACCATATTCATCATGTCAGTACCTACTTTAAATAATGCAGAATTAAAAAAATAGCCACATTAATTATTTTATTGTCCCGATTAAATTCAACCCATTATTATTTAACAAAAATTTTAATCATAAATATAAATACTTTAATTCAAAACAGAGTGTTTTTAAATTGTCAAAATGTGATGCAATAGTGTCGAAATTGAATGCAAAAGTGTCGAAATGTAGTGATACAATGTTGAAATTGAATGCAAAAGTGTCAAAATGTAGTGATACATTGTCGAAATGAGGTGAGAAACCCTGTATATATATATATATATATATATATATATATATATATATATATATATATATATATATATATATATATATATATATATATATATATATATATATATATATATATATGTATATATATATGTATATATATATATATATATATATATATATATATATATATATATATATATATATATATATATATATATATCAGGCCTTGCGATAAAGCGTCGGGCGATGTGAATTTTACGTCATCCAAGGGCGATTTTGCGTGTAGCTAGGGCTATTTGCAAAAAATTTTTTGTTTGAGTATATTTAAAGATATTTTTGAGCGGAATTTTAATGAAGTAATTGACGATTACTTTAACATTTAATTAAGTATTTTAAAAACCGCATGCAGTTGAAATAAAAGTTTGAATTTAAAAAAATTAAATATGCTCATTATTTTCAAGTAGAAAAAATTCAAAAATTAAAAAAAAAAGTTTAAATCTTTTAAGCTAACATTTTAATAAAATTATTCAGCAATAGCAACGTTGTCGATAAAATTGAACAAAAATACTTTCTTTTAGTTTTAGATTTTAAACTTAAATAATTATTTTACAGGGGTTTGATAGGTTTTAAAATTATTCCATAGATTTAAAAATATTTATTAACTGTTAGACGTATTTAAAGTATTTAAGAGTGATTTCGAGGAAACATTTTAAAAATTGGTGAGGGCAAATAAAAAAAAAAAAAGATTAATATTAAAACGTATTCTAATTGATTCAATGAAAAAGTACAGTTATTAAAATTTTTGTAAAAAGAACTCAAAAAAATTACTTAAATAATAACGATCGCTTTTATGTTAAAAGTTACCGAAACTCATCGAAGCGTGCTCAAGAACAGCTGCTGAAAAATAGAACGTCAATAGTTTTTCGAATAATTTTTAAGAATAATTTTTAAGAATAATTTTTTCGCTAAAATATTTCTTTTATACCTATAAGATTTTTATTCTAACATTTTATTTTATTTTACTAGAAATAAAATTCCTTGTTAACATTAAAAATCTATTCAAAACGTTCGTTTAAGTTTTTTATTAATACGAGTGATTGTGCTTATCAACCGCTTTATGAAAATAAATAAAAATAAATAAATAAATATTATATAAAATTGCTTGTAAAAATATTAGCTATTGCACAGTTTTTAATCGTACAATATTAAAATTTCCAGTTTATTACTCGCTGACTTTTTAAAAAGAAAAAATAATTATTTGAAAAACTTTAAATTACATATTTAAGAAAAAAAAAATCAAATATTAGCATATTTTATAATCTTTTTTAAATTTAAGTTATAATGTTTTTTATTCGTTTAGTATAGACAAAACGTGACAAACTAGAGAAAATAAACAAATGTTTTTACATTTTAAAAAACGAAACATTCCAAAACATTTTTAAATAATAACATTTCTACATAAACGATTTAAAGTAGTTTTGCGGTAATTAAATAAATTGGTGCAGTTAATGTCGATAAATATGAAAAGCAAATAAAAAGAATTTAATGACGTCAAAAATCACGTCGTGCTTATGCGTCGCGCAGCTCTTATTCATCGCAAGGCCTGATATATATATACATATATATTGATAAATGTTGTATACTGCTGGAAATACGACTCTTGTCTGTTTAAGAGTGATGAATATCTCTTTTTAAAAAATAGATCAAATTATATTTAAATAATTTAAATTAAAAAAGTACAACTTTATAATAGAACTTAAAGTTTCATGCCATATGGCTGATGATTGCCGAATGGCATCAAACTTTAAGTTCCATTATAAAGTTATATTTTTTTCATTTAAGTTATTTTAATATGTATATATATATACAGGGTGTTAACTAGAAGTAAATTTGATACAGCGTTTTGACAAAATTGAAAATTTGTCAAAAAAATTTCCATTTATATCCCCCCCTCCACCTCCCCTGAGATTAAAATGGGAATGTGTAGGGTCCTTTTCTTATACTCTTTCTTCTTCTACTCCACTTTAGCGCTGCATACATTGATTGGACAGCGCCAAAAATAAAACAAAATACCGTCTGTAACATTTATTGAAGATGAATATGAAATCAATACAAAATTAAAAGTGAATTCACAACGACAAGGCAAATTAAGCTCTGATTTCCAAAGATATATTCAGATTTATATATTTTTACATTATAAAATAATTAGTGTGTATTAATTAATTATTTATTAAGAATAATATATTTGATTTACTTTTAATCTTACTATATCGTTGCCACTTTCATTTTAAGAGTATTCTTTGGAATATATATTTTTCACTGGTGGGCATTAAATTAGCAATTTTTAAAGTAATATAGGGATTTATGTTCAATGAAAATTTCCGCCGAAGAGAGCTAATGATCTTCTACTTCTAATTAATATTCAAGTTCTGTTTGACGTCCTTTATGGACAAACCTATACATCATCATGTAATTAATTGCGTCATCAAATGAAATGTTTTAAAAATAGAAAAATAAAAAAGGTTTTGAAAAAAAGTACACACAAGCTTGTAAATTTCATATTTCACATTTATTGCGAGTTCAATTTTATAATTAATACAGTGGCGGGTTAAGACTTCTTGGGGCCCGGGGCTATATTTGTTTTTAGAGGCTTTTTATGGGCCAGAGCCTAAAAATGACTATTTAAAAAAAAAAAAGGCCCTCTAAAATTTTTGGGGGCCCTAAATTTGTGGGGCCCGGGGCTATAGCTTCCCTAGCCCCCCGCTTGATCCGGCACTAAATTAATATTAACTTTATTTATACATAAGTTGCGAAGCGAAATAAAGTTACAATTACAAGGTCTCAGCAAAAGCAACAACAAATGTCGTTTAATTACAAAAGAATTACTAAAGATCGCAAGCGATTGCACGTTATCGTGGCAACAAAGAATACCAATAATTATTTTTTCATGCATTGTCATTAAATGTTATTATGGCCATGGTTCATTGAAACATTAAAATTTGCTTCTATGTTTTAAATTCAAGCAAGCAGTGAATCTAGTTTTCTTGTTTTTTAAATTTCTAGTACCAGTTTGTTGTAATAAAAAAAAAAACATTCTTGTTATTAAAAGTATTTAATTTACATTTTAATATACCTATTAAATTTATGTTTTAACTATAAGCAACCAGTAAAGTAAAGAAATCTATTTTTCTAGAATTTGTTTGTTATAATCAAAAATCATTTATTTAACTTATTTAACTTCAGCCATAAATTATTTGCAAATTTTAAGAAAATAATTTTTTTTCCAAGCGACTTTAGGGATTTTTGGAAAATCCCAATTCTCAAAAAGTTTTTTTCCAAGAGACATTTTTGCAGTTTCGCAAGTGCATAGTTATACTAATAGCCGCAAAGTTATTTCAAGTTTTAAACAATAAGTTATAATTTTTTTATGTTATTTTTCTATTAGTTTTTAATAGTAATTAATTTTCAATAAATTTTAAAATTATTATTAAATGTTACTGAGAAAGGGATTTTTTCACTTTTAAATTGGGAATTTTAGCATTTGAGAATACCGCGTTTGACGGGGGGCCCCATAGGGCTTGTTTACACCCTGATATATATATATATATATATATATATATATATATATATATATATATATATATATATATATATATATATATATATATATATATATATATATATATATAAACCATAAAACAACAGCTGCTAACTAAATTTTTATTTGTAATATTTTGACCATTTTTTTGCACAGATCGTCATCAGGCGTAAAATACAATACAAAAATACCGTTACAAATATTTCATAAAAGCGTCAACGAAGACATTAAGAAGAAGCCATAAATGATATATAACAATGTAAACATAAAATTAGCAAATATTGTTTAATTCCATTTTTTTAAATAATTTTTTTAAAAAAAGGTCTCTAACTGTAGATAATTTAATGCTATTATCATGGTTGAGAATTTTCGGAGCGTGTTTTATTTCCTGGTATGTTTATGTGATTTTGTAGACACCATTGATTATGATGATGATTGTACAGCAGGAACAATTCATATTTAAGAACGCAATTTCCTAATATCATTTTTACGCTTTTAATCTAAAAATGTGCACTTTAACTTTTTAGAAAAAGAAGGAAAAAACAAAGAATAATGAAAGAAAAGATTGCTGCCCACTGCCAAACCCTTAGTTGATATTGCAGCACTTCTTTGTGGCAGCAGGCTACAAGATAGTGAATGTATGTACTGAAGCCCCCTCAACTTTCTGTTTTTGTATGATGTCATCAGTGTGGGTCTAATGCTAAAATTAAGGAAAAGAACTTATCTAAATAAAGAAAATGAAAATTAAAAAAAATTTTAAAATACTAAGTTAACAAAACTTAGTTTATTTATAAGAAATATATTAATATATAAATCTGTTGTTTACTAAATGTTGTAGTTATAAAACAGTAATAAAATGTTAAATGTAGTAATAAAATTTATTTCCTTAATGCTACTCGCGGCAGTAGGATTAAGGAAATAAATTGGATCTCATTCTTTACATTATTTAAATTATTTTATGCGAATAAAAGGCATAAAGAAAAATAAGCGGTGAATGGATGTTGGCGTTTCAGTGAATTTTAAGATTACTAAAAAAAAAAAAAAAAAAGTCCTCTAAATACAGACAGACCGGTATGCCCAAAAAAACTCTGGATACGTCATGTATTTATAATAGTTATAGCAATATTTATAGCAAAAAAGTAATAATATAGCAAAAACTTTTTCTTTTTTTTCTTTTTTCTCATTTTTTATAAATTTATTATACACGATTGTTCCATATATTGCTTGCAAACTCAACATATGCTAAAGACGTTTACACTTACAGATATTTGTACACATCGCTGTACAAATAGCAAAACTAAGAAGATCTTAGACCATTAAAAACTATAGACTATAAAACGCTAAGGGATCATCCATAGATTATGTTACGCTAAATTTCTTTTTAAAAAAAGGAAAGGAGATCTTAAGTTCTTTTAGGTGGTGATTTTCATTAAACTTAATGAGCTATTTTGATTTTTGTTTAACATATGACTCTGCGAAGGAAAATTTTGATCTTTTTTGTTTTGTTTATTAGTGAAATTTAGCGTTGTGTATTTTATGGACAATCCCTTATTTAAAAGTTTAGATTAGGGGTCAGCCAAAAAGTCTATAAAGCCACATAATAATGGAATATAATACTATTTTGATGGTTATCTAAATTCTGTCGTTGTTGCACACTGGGTTTAAAATGTTTAACGGAGGCGTGATAAAATAGCTGTAAAATTCTAAATTTCTTTATTAAATCAATATTAAATAATTTTAACTTTTAATTATTTTTGAAAATAATAAATTTAATAAAATGGTTTAATTTAAATATAAAATCAGAAGTTTAAATTATGTTCTTAATTAAAAGCGTGCTTTTCAAACCCCCTTGCTGTTTTAAAAAATGTTAAGGTTGCAGTGTGGCAAGTTCAAATCATCAGCTTGCTTTTTTTTTAATTTTTGTTATTTAAAACGCAAAATAAAATAACTTTATAGTTCTATAGATTTTATATTCTATATATAAATATGTTGTATAGGGGAGAGTGTGTATGAAAGAGCCAGGTTTTGAAAGAGCCGATGCCATTATATCTAACTTTCTGGCACCCGACCATAATTATATTTTACTTTTTGTGTGGCAACGCTGGATACCTGTCACCCACAAAAAATTTAGTTCTACTAAAATAAATAATGTCATAAGGGTGTACTAAAAGTTTTAAAAACAAAATGTAATTTTTTTTGGGTTTACTTATTTATTTTTAAGATAAAGAGTATTTTATTACTTTATAAAACAAATAAGCTGCATTGTTACATATATAATGTAAGCATGCCTGTGATAGGACTCGAACCATGGTTTTTTTGATTTATTGCTCTGCGCACTAACCACTCGGCCACACTGACACAATGACTTATGAAATTTTAAAACTATATACTAGTTTTTTTAAAGAAAATAAATGCTATAGATCAAAATTAAGGAGAGGTTGACGCAATACAATTTTCAAGTGAAAGTCAAACTGCAAAACTTGATATATGCTTAAATATGTTTTAACATTACATAATTTGAAGTTTACGTAGGTTAAGTTAAATTTTTAGGCAATTCTGAAGTAGTACTTATGGTAATTAAGTGGTACTTATGGTAAAAAGATAATTGTACATAAATGATCTGTTAGCATTTTTTTACTCCTTTTATAGCTTAAACACTTTAATAAACTCAATTTTTTACAATATTATATATATTAAGTTTATTTTATTCCTTCTAAGTTATTATAGTTAGGATTATAAGTTTAATGATTTTTTTATGAATATAAATGTTGAAGCAAACATGATTTTTTATTTTACAGGTGTAGAGGGTGGATTTGATGTAAACCAAGACAAGGTTCTTTTAAATTTATTGTTGTTTACATATTTTAATTTATCAAATTATTTTAAACAATCAGCATTAATATTATTACTGATTGTTAATTTTTGTTATTATTTTTTTTTTGTTTTTGTAATTGAGTTGCTTAAGCTGATGTAGTATTCCATGCTATTGGAGTTATCACAAAATATGATAGTATTAACAAAGAGTTTCAGCCTAAGTAAAATTTGTTCGATGATCCCCTTATTGAAACTTATGTTTGTGTTATTTTCACTATGTTATTTTCACTAAGTTTTTTTTATTATGTCATTTTCACTAATTTTATTATGTTATTTTCACTAATTTTTAGTTTTTTTTTAGTAAAAAATCTTGATAAAAGAAAGATCTTTCATCATCTACTGAAAAAAAAAACTAAAATAAGTTTAATTTTAAAAAATGAATAAAAAGTTAATTTTTGCAAAAAAAAAAGTGCATGTAAGGTGTTAAAAAAGGCATGAAAATATTGCTGTTCAAGATGCTTATCATTATTTGTTAAAAGTTGTGAGTTATCATGGGAATATATAAGGGGAACATGTTATAACATTCCGTGGACCCATAGCCTACTATAATACACGACTGTGAATGTTACATTTTATAGGTCGATAAAATGTAACATTCATGATATAAAAAGCACTATCTCTCTAATTTGAATCTCCTTAATCCGAAAACCTCCATAATCTGATTAAATGCAAAGTCACAGGGAAATGCGCTTAAGAAATTCTTATGTTCAACTTTCTATAATTCAAATTTCTATAATTTGAAAACCTCCACAATTCAAATGGATTTTTTAGATCCATCAGTAAGATTCTCTCTGTAAAGCAAACTTTTTTAACATCTGACATAAAAAGCTCGTTAAACCATCAAACTTTTTTAACATCTGACATAAAAAAGCTCGTTAAACCATCAAACTATTTTAACATCTGACATAAAAAGCTCGTTAAACCATCAAACTATTTTAACATCTGACATAAAAAGCTAGTTAAACCATCAAACTATTTTTTCAAATTTTGAATGTTTTGAGTTTTTGAAAAAATGATTACTCTGAATTATTTTCTTTTGTTTAAAAAAAATATATATAAAATATATATTTTTTTTAAACAAAAGAAAAAATTTACATTTAGCAGTTTGTGATGTTCTCTACAAAAAATCACTGATTTTTTGTAGAGAACATCACAAACTGCTAAATGTAGCCCATGTGCATAACAAAGTTGATGTTCCTACCCGCTTAATCTTCCATATTTTATTACACTAGAAATTATATGCTTCTTTGTAGATAAATTAAATTCGGATAATTTATTTTACACCATCAATAATTTTTTCAGCTGGAAGCGACCCAACTATTTGATCATGCCCAAGTTCCAAACCCCAGTTATAATAAATGCACATTTAAATTCAAATTGTAATGATTTTTTAAAGATGTGTATTCGTCCATCGAAATAGAGAATCTTGAGATATATTTATTATCCTATTAATTAACATAATTAATTAAATTAACTTCACATACTTGGTTTTTCACTTATTTCACTTTTTAAATACTTACTACTTTCTTAACATTACTAATTACTTTATTTACTAACTACCAACTTGTATGCGTAACTAATTACTTTTTTTGCACGTACAAGTACTTGTAACTTGTCCATGGTTATTTTATAATTAACATATCAGGGACTCCCCTTTATTCATTGTAATTTCTTGCAATTGTGATTATTTATTAGATTAGTCACCAATTTTTTGCAGTTTTGTTTTTTTTCTAAGATAAATAAAATATTATTATTGAATTTGATTTATAAATTGATGTGGTTTGTTTATTTAAGCTTTATATGCTGTAAGTTACAACATATCAAATTTAAATAAGTAAATCAAATCTATTTATAAATCAAATTTAATAATATTTCATCTATCTTATACACAAACCAAAACTGCAAAATATTGGTGATTTAATCGCCCTCTATAATATATCTTCCTAATTTTTATAGAAGTTCATTACAAAAGGGAAAAGGAAGTAATTAGTACTCAAATTTTGAGTAATAGTATATTTAATATCTTTACAAATCTTTAAAATATGTTTAAAAAAATTACCAGGATTCCCGAGAAATTTCATTGAAATCATGGTGATAGCGGAATGATTTTTTACCTCCGGGATCCCATTTGAGAAACCTAAGTATGGTATATCTTTCAAAACCATTTTTGAAGATGGCAAAGTCTGTTAATATGCAAATGATTGCTCTATAGCTTGAAATGACACTGCCTAAAATTCTCTTTTGATAACCATATGAAAATATTTTTAATGACCATGAATTGAACCTTTTCTATCAATGTTTTCCTAACAAAAGTTTACATTAAAAAAATGAAAAGTGCACAGTCAGGCAGGCATAGTAAAGTTTGCCTGGGATGTCAGGTGTGAGAATGACTGAAAGATGAGAAAGACTTTCAATGTTTGTAATTGAAAAATAAAAGTCTCATAGATGTTTCTAAGGTGTGAAAAATATTCCTTGCGCTAATGGATCCAACCAAAAAGTTGGATTTTGGCAGAATTATTTGAGGAGTGGGTTAAAGAAATTGTCGTAGAGTTTAGTATTTAGAAATGAAAAATTGCTTTAATTATTTATTAATTTAATTAATTAAAACAATTGTTTTGCTCATCCTAGCATGCAGAAACTTGGTTGTGTGAAGCTTATCTTTCTTCCACCAAATACAACCTTGATCACCCAACTTATGGAAAAAGATCTTCTAAAGCAAAAAATTGCTTAGTTGCAGTGAAAAAGCAGATTTCTGCCTTGAAAAAAGAGAACAAGACACTTAAGTTTATCTTATCTTAACTGCTATGTTTATACTAACAAAAGCATGGAATTCCATTCCAGACCTTTATAAATTGTTTCAAGAAAGCAAGAATATTATTAGAAGCAGCAGAAAAGCATGATAATAGCGATCTTTGGCTTAGATGTAGAGGAGGCTGTAATGGAAAACTTAAAAGTTGATCTTGGACAGTTGAAAGCAAAATTTGATGCAGATTTTAACCTTTTGACTGACGAATTAGTAGACTTATATATCGATGTTTGCATTGCTAACAAATCATCTGATGATGACATCATTGCAGATGTTTCTGGATATGATGCTATTGAAACTGAAGATGAATCCAATGGTGAGCACATTGATGTTTCTGACAATGCTACAAAACCAAGTTTGAACTAAGCAATGCATCCTATCACTGTGCTCAAAATTTAGAGTCTTTTTTGTCAATTAACCTTGGAGACAATTTGATAAAGGCTTAATAGACATTATTCTTAAAGACAAATTTTCTTGTCAAATACTTTGACAAGAATATTTGAAAAAAAGTCAACTTTTTATAATTCAAAAATCTCTCTAATTCACACTTTTATTTTTCCCCATAAAATTTAAATTAGAGAGATTGTTCTGTATATATTTTTATATACTGTATATATTTTCCTAATGCATTTCCTAAATATCATGCCTGTTTGTTGTTTTAAGGTGCTGTTTGCAGGAATAGTATCCTTTTAATAACTTTATGTCAGGTCAGGTTCAGGATCATCACAATCACCCTGCTACTGGTATCATGTAACCCAGTACAACCTGTCCTTTGCCCTTCTGCCTTGTAGGGTGTGCTTTTTTAGGCAATGGCTGGGAGAAACAAACACCGACTTAAAAATCCCCTGATTTGGGGCTCTTAGTTTACTAAAGGTTAGAGATAGTGTCTCAATAAAAATACTCATCTTAGGCAGATTTTTACTGCATCCAGCTACTGTCTTGTAGGGGACTTCCTAGGCAAAGACTTTAGGGATAAGCAGAATAATTCTGCTAACCAGCCTTGAACCCTTTCTTAATCTATTGACTGACGTAGGTGTAAACCTGTGCTACTTTATTTCTTGTCTGGGATGATGAATGCTGGATCTTCTTGACTCTACTCATATGTTTTTGCTTGTACCTCCTTGATAGTTGCTATGCATTTCTTCCTGTTATCTCCTGATGAAGGTACAGCTCTAAAACTCAGTTTAATCGTTCTGAGGCCGGCTTGTAGTAAGGTTTTTAGAACTCTGTGGTAGCTCTCAGTGAGGCTGATTGCATCAACAGCTGCAAATTTAATAGTATTAACAGTGCCACGTTGAGCATGGATAGTGTCTCTGTTAATTCTTTTAGTGTGCATTGTCGAGGCCACATAAGGAACCCTATTTACGAAGGGTTAGTTAACAGGACTGAGACAGTTGCATAGCTCATTGCTTAAGAGGCCGTGCTTTATTTATAAATGAGTTAAGTTCTCTTTAAACTTGAATCTTTAAACTTGAATGCCAAAAGTAATACAAAATATTTAACTTTCCATCAGTTGAAATTTACCTTTTTCAAAATTCCCCAGAGTTGCTTGCTCTTGGTGAGACTAATTTAAATTTCTCTATTCCTTCTTCAGATCTCAGTGTTGATGGGCACTATCCTTTTATTCACTCAAGAGTCACATGCTTGGTTTGGGGGTATACATATGCATCAATTCATTCCTTTTACCATTCTTTTATGTGCTTTCACGTAGCACCTCTTCACTCTATCACCTTTCCCTTTGCTCTATATTGTTTTCCTTCTTTCCAAAATTGCACTCTTTAAAATGTAATTTCTGATCAAATTGCTCTCTATCTTTACCCCTATGCCAATTTTGTTGTTATTGGTGACTTTAATACTCATCACACTGAATGGCTTTGCTTTAACACCACTAACTCACTCTCTTACTCGGATAGTTAACTTTGTGACTCGTTTTCCTGACTAAGTAGTTATTATCTCAAGTTCCATCAACTAAAACTAATTATTGCTTGACTTGTCATTCAGTTAAATCTCATTAATTTACTGCATCAGTAAATTAATGAGACTTGTATCAATAAATTCCCCTGTCCCTGCATCCTCTAAAAACTTTTATTTGTCTAGTTTTTTTCCCACACTGGAACTCTTTGAAACTCTCTCCCATCTTCATGTTTTCCTGA